GATAGATAGATAGATAGATAGATAGATAGATAGATAGATAGATAGATAGATAGATAGATAGATAGATATCACTAAAAATACCATATGTTGCAGCATATGCATACTTTCTGTCTTTATTATAACACATTTATTTTCACAAAGTTATCAGATTAAAACTCATAATAATACCACTGTTTATTAAATTACATTATAGAAGAGCAATAAATCATCTCATTGTACTAGGTTAACAAAGTAAAGCCTAATGATCAATAAGAATTTATGCGAATTATGTAGAACTTAAGTAGAACATATTCTACTTATGTAGAATATAGCAATCTGATTCTATTTATATTTATTAAATGAGTTTCATTCATATAAATAAAAAAAAATATCCTTGTAAGAGACAGATTATTCCTTTCTTAATCATATACATTCCATGAGAATAAAGAGAATTTGAGTTCATTCTAAAAAACTGTTAGAAATTTTAATAAACTTGAAATGTTTTATTATGTCCTGTAAACAGATGTTACTTCATGGATAATCTGTGATGGTGACATAGATCCTGAATGGATTGAATCCCTGAATTCTGTCCTTGATGATAATCGACTACTTACTATGCCTAGCGGAGAAAGAATTCAGTTTGGTCCAAATGTTAACTTTCTTTTTGAAACTCATGACTTGAGCTGTGCTTCTCCTGCCACAATATCTCGAATGGGAATGATTTTCCTTAGGTAATTTAAAATAGTTTAACATAAAACTTTGTTACAATTACCATATTGTTGAAATTATTTATTTTTATTTTTTCTTTAAAATATTCATGCTTCAATCCATATAGATTCTAAACAGCATGCAACAATTTGAAATATAACACAATCAACAGAACAATTAAAATATTAACAATTAATTGAATGTAACAATAGTACTTACATATTTTTCCATAGTTCTTTATAGCACTTTCTGAACAGTTTACAATGTCTGCATATTGCCCCCAACAATCTGACTCCTCATTTTACAGACCTTGGAAGGATGGAAGGTTGAGTCAACCTTGAGCTCCTGTCAGGATCAAACTCCAGGCTATGGGCAGAGTTTGCCTGCAAAACTGCATTCTAACTACTGTACCACCAGGGCTCAATATATTAAAGTATAAAGACTTTACCAACCGAGCTACCAGCCAAAAGAACATTTCCTACTTAGTTTACTTGCCCAAAGCAAGGTGTATTGCGGGCTGCCAAAGCTCCAAAAAATAAACTGTTTATTAAATGTTAAGTTTATTAAATTGGGCATCACTAGAAGGCCTATCAGCAGGTCCACATCTGCTGAACCACTTAACAACAGGTCCTTCTTAGATATTTGAAATATGTCAGCAGTAAAACCTTTAACTACCAATTTAAAGCCACTGAAATAGTGTCTATATATTTAAATGTATTTAACTCAACATATCATGATATCTGAACAAATTGTAAAGACCAATTTATTATATTAGTCTATAGTTTTTTAAAATCCAAAATAAAGTATTGCCTGACAGTAGATTTCCAGGAAATAATATATAAAAGTCTGGGGAGTACAGTAGGCAGAGAAGCCAGGATAGAAGTGCTATGGATATTCTATTCATTTTTCATTTTACTTTGCTCTTTTAGATAGTTTTACTTTTTGCTTATATTTTCTATTTATGTCTTGTTTATTTGTTTGCTGACTATGTTCTCTGGAAATAAGCTTTATTGAAATACTTCCCAGTAGCTGTACATTTAATTTTGTTGTAATACTTATAAATGAGAGCTATTTACTACAAAATATTTATATTTCAATTGTTCAAAATGTGTTGCTTTAATTGAAGTATATCTCCTTCTAGCGACGAAGATACTGATCTTAATTCACTGATCAAATCCTGGTTGAGAAACCAACCTGAAGAATGCAGACACAATCTTAAAAACTGGATTGGAGATTATTTTGAGAAAGCTTTAAATTGGGTACTAAAGCAGGTGAGCTGTACATTTTCTGTCATTTGTATTAATATGTTCTAGTTGACTATTTTTTTCTGACTGAACTAGATTTCTTCCTCATTCACTCTTTGTTTTGTTTGCATCTTTGTAACAGTTTATCTGCATCTGCGAAATGCCACTTTATTAATGATGCTTTATTATCAGCAGGTGGCAGCAGGTAGCCACCTTGTCTGTGTTTGGAAACTAAGCAGGATTGGTCTTGCTGAGGGAATAAATTACTTTATTCATACTTCATTAGCCAAATGCTTCAAAATGCGTTGAATTTGGTATTCAACGTGTTTTGAATCAAAAATCTTGTCCCGACCTTTGTCATTCTCCCAGTAGTTGACACACAAGGAAGAACCTGCTCACATTGGCTGCCTCATGACTTACTATTTCTTCTGGTCAAAATAGCAGGTCATGTGGTAAGTCATGTGGTTTTCTCCGTACACATTGATTTTAGTATTTGCCAGGTATTTCGGAACGAATTACCAATGGGTACTGAGATACCACTGTATAGTTGTTATGCATATATCAAAAGAAACATTTTAAAATAGCAGAAATAGTATAAATGTTGTTTAAGATTATAATTAGAATAATTATTATCAGAATGATAATAAATAGCAAAAATAGGTTTGTATTTTATTTCTGCTAAAAAGTCTCCATTAAAATTGTCCTATTGAAATACTTAGGGCATTTTGTATTTTACAGAACGACTATGTGATAGAAACAAGTTTGGTTGGAACTGTGATGAATGGGTTGTCCCATCTTCATGGATGCACTGAACGTGGACAGTTTATAATAAGCCTGATAAGAGGACTTGGGGGAAATCTCAATATGAAATCACGGCAAGAATTTACCAAAGAGGTAATTATTGGTACAACAGAGCAGATCATTAGCATTTTCATTCATTAGCTACAGAAAGGATCTTTTTTGTTAGAAATTGCATTAGCATTCAATTATAAAATATGTAACTGTCCAATCTAAATATCAAATTAAGTAGGGATTCTTTCAAAACTGTAATGGGAAAATGTGTTAATACATAGTACCGTATAACTTTTAGATGACAAATCAGGTTTCTCTGCCTGGTGACTTCAAGTAAGTTCATTTTTCTTTGTTATAATTCCCAATACTAATGAAGATGTCAGTGAAGATTTTCACATGCAGTTTGTACTGTAGATGTACCTTTTATCTTTTCAAATCCAGTATCAGCAAGACATTTGGGGGGGGGGGGATTTTTCATGAGATGAAAACTTATGATCTTTTTTGTGCTTAGGTTAAAAAAAAAGAATTTTTCTTTAAGCAGTGCATTTTATTTATTTTAATTAAAGACAGAAATATGGGACATTACAGAGACTTTGGTCTGATGAGGCCACCAGCAGTGGAGAATCTAATAGTCAAATTTATTTTTTTCTTCCTAGCATTGAACTTATACTATATACTCTGGATGTTATGTTTTATCTTTGCTTATTTGAAAAATAATTCACATAATAGGGACACTTATTTGAAAAATATTTTAATTTTAGTCTTATGAAAATATGCGTTTAGGTTTTTTCCTGGGCCCGAGAATCCCCTCCAAACCCCAACAAACCAATGGATACCTTCTTTGATCCTGATAGTCAACAGCTAGTATCCTACCAACTGAAAAAGCCTGAAAACCTTACGGCAGATGATTTCAGCAATACTCAGACGCTTCCAGTAATTCAAACACCTGATATGCAAAGAGGATTAGATTATTTTAAGCCTTGGTTAGGGTTTGATAGCAAGCAACCATTTCTTCTTGTTGGACCTGAAGGATGTGGTAAAGGGTAAGAATTTGTGTTTTCACATTATTTAAAATACTGTTGTGGTGCTGTTAAAAATTATACTGCTGGAAGTGTTCTTGGAAATTAAAGTTTTTGTCACGAGTATATTCTATAGCTTAAAATTACCGGATACTAGCTATGATATCCTGCCTTTCCTCTGGATGCATAAGTCTACATTCTATTTTACTTTTTCATATCAGATATGCTTATTCATTTTATGATATTGATCTCTACCAGTAATAAACTTTACCTAATTAATGTTATAGAATATATTGGAGCATGAGATTATGCCCAGCTCAAAGTCACAAAATAAAATCAGTAACTGTCTTGGATTTAAAACCAATAATATATCGGATGGCAAAGAAAAAAAGGATGGTATTTAATCTAGCAGTGAACTAATTGGATAATAGAAAAATTCCCAAAAGAACTTAAGTGAAAGAGCAATTAATTCAAGGCAATAAGCAAAAGCAATAAAGCAAAGTGTAATACTAAGCAGCAACTCTGTTTTAGAACCACAATTGTCTCTTTGTTTTGGGAATGATATAGAGTGAAACATATACATACATACATACATACATACATACATACATACATACATACATACATACATACATCTGAATAATATACATTTCTAACAATTTTATTCCATTTCTTTTGGGGGAAGTACATGTTCCATTTTGTGTGTGTGGGGGGGGGGGAGAAGTACATGTTCATGAATACAAGATTTTATATCAGTTGCATAGAGTTCACAAGCCTAAGGCATACTTTATATAATTTCTGTAAATATTTTATTTTATTTTTTGATTTTTATAGAATGCTACTCCGTTATGCCTTTTCCCAGCTTCGATCTACTCAGATTGCTACAGTACATTGCAGTGCACAGACTACATCTCGGCATCTTCTGCAAAAATTAAGTCAGACATGTTTAGTAATTAGCACTAATATGGGACGAGTATATAGGCCAAAGGATTGTGAAAGGCTGGTTTTATATCTGAAAGATATAAATTTGCCTAAGCCTGACAAATGGGGAACAAGCACATTGGTAGCTTTCCTACAGCAGGTGAGTAGAATAATGTTCTTCATTTTTTTAATAGTTCTGTGGAATAGAACGGAATTCTGTATCTGTTAACATTTATATAAATTCCCCCCACCCTCCAAAAAAAATTACAATGTTTCATCTTGCATTTTCTTTACCTTTAAAACACTGTGTCTTATTTTGCTGATAGCTTGTTCTTTGTTGAAGATAAGTTTTTTTAAACTTTTTAAAGTTGAAGATAAGTTTTTTTAAACTTTTTAAAAATAAGTTTATTTAATTGTTCCCTCAGATATTTTTCATATTTCTGATATTAAATGTTAGGTTTATAATATGACAGAAAGCAGGGGTGGGTTGCTATGGGTTCGTCCTAATTCAGGAGAACCCGTAGCGAACGTTATGGCCACTTCGGAGAACCTCCAAATCCCACCCCTATCTGGCCCTGCCCACCCTGCCCCTCCCCTCCCAGGAGTCTCTACGCTGCTCATTTTGGATGCGAGGTAAGTGCAGGGCCCACACTGAGGCTTGGGGAGGGAGAAAAACAGGCCTCTCGGAAGCTCCAGAGATCCTCCGGAGTCTGGGGAAAGTGGTTATCACCCTCCCAGAGGCTCAATTAAAGTCTCCGGAGCATGGGGCAGGCACACCCCACCCCCCCCCGTGGTGCAGGAGACCGACTAGACCATGCCCACCATGGCCACACCCACCCAGCAACCAGGAAGAGAACCTGTTCTTGAAATTTTTGAAGCCCACCCCTGATAAGAAGTATATAGATAGTCTTTGAGTTACCACCATAATTGGGACGAGAGCCTCTGTTACTAAGGGATGCAGTTATTAAGTGAGTAATGCCTGATTTTATGGATTTCTGCTATAGTCATTAAATGAATCATCACAATAATAAAGTGAACCATGTGGTTGTTAAGCAAAGCTGGCTTCTCCCAATGACTTTGCTTGCTGGAAGCCCCCTGCAACCATTGTCAATACATGTTGGTTGCCAAGTGTCTGAATTTTGATCACATAACCACAGAGACATGACAACAGTTGTAGGTATGAGAAACAATCATAAGGGACTTTTTTCAGTGCCATTGTAGCTTTAATAATATTGTTATTTTATTTTAAATGACTGATCCAAGGCTTCTCCCCCCCCCCGCCTCTTTCTTAATGCAGGGAAATTACTTATATAAGACATCTCTTCCTGTGTAGCATTTTCCCCAGTGCACTGCTTGCTTAACAAATGCAAATCCAAATTAACAATCCTTCTGCTCTAACCTTTATTTTTAAATTTATATTTATTAAGAGTTTTAATAATCTAATTGAATAAGAGAGAAAAAGAAAAAAACCTACAAATTGCAAGAAGTTTTAAAGAAATAAATAAATAACCTCTGATATTCTTTTCAACAGATGACAATCGTATTCTACTTCTTCCTTCTTAAATATTTTGCAGATCCCTTCACCTCCTTGTTTAATCTATATCTTCAAATCCAAAAATCATCAATTCAGTTTTTTTCTTTTTTCAGCAAAAAGTCCATTTAATATTTCTAGTATTTTTTTAAAAAAAGTTCTGACATTAATGTTATTTTATTATATTATTCACTTCTCGAATAGCTTCCGTCTTGCTGCGCTGATTCTGGTTATTAACAGGCTCTCGGTTTTGACCCTAATAAGTTAATTGCTTATTGCTTTCACCTCTGGCATGGCTCCCATCTTGCCACTGCTATTTGGCAAGACAAACAGCCTGCACTATTATTCCTTTCAGCAGGATTACCCCATTATCTATTTTTGTATTCCTTTCCTCTTTGCCCTTTACTGGAATTTGATCAAGGTGAATAGTAAACTTTTTTAAAATTAATCCCCTGAGTTGGAGTGCACATGCCCAGGAACAGAAGAATGAATTAGAGGTTATAGGAGCTACCCCAGGTGGTATCTTTACGTCACATCCATTGACTAACTACCTTGGTTTGATGCTTAGATTGGCACCATCTAATAAATTGTTATAATTACATGCATCCTGGCATCTTTCTTGGTGTTTTTTTTAATTTTGGGAATCTGATCCATAATGGTCATAGCTGATAAGAATGTATTATTTTAATGCTATTTGCATAATCCAAATAGTGTATCTTAGAGATGTTAAACATTACTCATATTTGTTGTTTTAATTTCCAAGGTGCTTACATATCAAGGATTTTATGATGAAAATCTTGAGTGGGTAGGGTTGGAAAACATCCAAATTGTGGCATCCATGTCTGCTGGAGGAACAGTGGGAAGACATAAACTTACTTCCAGGTTTACTTCTATAGTCCGTCTTTGTGCGATTGAGTAAGCATCTATGTACACATATCTGTCCCTCTCTTTCTTTACAATCTCAAGAGTAACTTCAGTATTTAATCTAAATGCACATCATTTCTCACTGGAGGTACAGCACCTATTTCTGGGTATATTGTAATATAATTGAAAAAGTTTAGCAAATTTGGGAAAACTTTACCTGTCAACTTTAAGGTTTTAAGGAGGAAAATGCCTAGAGCAGCGGTCACCAACTAGTCGTCTGTGAGAAAATTTTGGTGGTCCGCAGAAAAATTATTTGCATTTTTTATATTACACTAAATCAGGGATCCTCAAACCATGAATGTTTGTGTTGCTGAAGAGAGTCTCCCCCTTCAGGGTCTTTTTGTGCGAGGCACAAGGGGGGCAGAAATTCCGACTTGGGACCTGCTTCAGTCTCCTGCTGTGGCACTTTGGACGATGGCTGGAGGGAAGTGCTGCTGGTGATGAAGAGCCGGAGGGCCTTTTTCCAGTGGGACTGCATCATGGCCAGGAACTGGCTGACCATCTCAACCTGCTGAGTCTCCAGACACCAGTACCTGGCCTTGCACTCCCACAAGTCTTCCCTCTGCTTGGAAAGCCTATGTTCGTAGTCCTCAGTGAGGTGCTTCTCCTGAGCCTCCTTCTTGGTCCGATCCAATTTGAACTGAGCCAGCTGTTATGCCAACTCTTTCCCCTGTTGGCCGCTTAGCTCCAACAACTGCTTTCTGTTGGGGGCCTAAGGAGCCTGGGTCAGGCAAGGAGTGGCTGGCAGGGAAGGGGCGAGTAGAGGCTGGCGAGGCGAACTTCGACATAGATGACATCAAGTTGGCCACGTCCACCCAGTCACATGATCACCTAGCCACACCCACCTGTCCAGTCATTAGGCAGATCATATTAGTGGTCTGCCAGATTTAAAATTATGAATATAATAGTCTCTGAGGTACGAAAGGTTGGTGACCCCTGACCTAGAGAAACCAGCCTTGTCTTGAAATTAGAGAATAAAAAGCCAGTAGAACCAGTAGCTCATATAAGCTAATCTGACTAACTAAAGACAATTGTTGCCCATTGTCTCTTGATGGGGGAGGTCCTATTTTATTCTTTCCCTCAAAATTCATATGGGACAAGTCAAATCTGGTCAGGTATTCAGGCGCCAGGTTTTGTTACAGAATACTTTCTAGACACTGTTGTTTATCAGCAACCGTTCAACCATTCTGCTCTTAACTTGCATTTTTGAATTAGATTTTAATAAACTTTGAAATTGTAACTGAATTTTAAACTTTCCTTTTTTTTTTTTAGTTATCCAGAAAGAGATCAGCTACAGACCATTTACAGTGCATACTTAGAACCAGTTCTACACAAGAATCTAAAAAACCATCCTGCTTGGGGATCCTTAGCAAAAATATACCAGTTAGCGGGATCCATGGTTCAAGTATATGAGCAGGTATGACTTAAAATGAACTATTTTGTAACATGGATGTTCTTTGTTGTGGATGTGTTGTGTTCCCTGATGATTAGCTGTTTCTTGTTACAAGTACTGTAAAAAGGAGGAGATGGGCAAGTCAGATTTTGTATCTCAGCTATTTTAAACATTTAGAAATTAAAAATCTGATGTTTTTAAAACAAAATAGACACAATACCTTATGAAACAAAGAGAGGTAAATTGTAGGGGTGGTTCAGTGTAAAATATTAGTAATGGATTCAGGATACAAAAGAAAGTCTTTCTTAACTGAACATATATTTGATTGAAATGTATTTTGCCAGGAGATCTGGTTTTAAGAGATGATTGAAAATTAATAAAAATCAAGATGATTACAACAATACAATTCCTAATCATCTTTGTAGAAATCCTGAAGGACATTTTTTTTTTGCCCTTATGCCTGGTTTAGGTTATTTGTTTGTTTGATAAATTTCTCCTTCCTTTCTTCAGGATCTTATCCCTTCAGCAATGAAACATACACTATTTAACAATTTGCCTCACCATTTAATAGTTTATCTGATGGATTTTGTAGAATAAATGATAATTTGCATGTTTTATCAAAGTTTTGTTTTACTAATTCTGAATTAATTGTTTAATTGTGGAATGCTTCTTATGCAAATCACAGTAATGGAGGAATGGAAGAAAGGGTGAGGCATACCAACCTTGTCCTACCTGCTCCAAGAAGCCTTGGGATTTTTTTTTTTTTTTTTTGCCTGAAATCTGGATCAATCACATTTTGGGATTTGGTTCTGCCAAACTGTAGCCACCCAGAGTGCTTCTGTGGGGTTTATAAAACATAGTGTGTTGATATTAGCTTGAAAATACTGTACATTAGACCGATTTATGGCAAGACTTATAAAATAAATTGTGCAACTAGTGTATCCAAACTTTGTGCAAGAAATAATTAACCCATCAGCCCATTTAATTGACATGGCTGCTCCATATGCTTTCCTTTTATATGCTTTCCAATATAACATTTACTTAATAATTTATTTCTCACATATGAGAGATTTTATGAGGATATAAGCTGATGGTACCTTCTTTTCCAGACTGTACAGTATCTTTCTCACTGTGTCACTTCCTGGGATAACTTTACATAGATAAAATAATACATTTAAATCTCTGCGGTATAATTTGGGTAGCATTGCTCTATCACTTTTTCAGAGAGCTTCCGATCTAAGTCTTCAATAACGAATGTAAAATTCTAAAGACTTTAGACCAGGGGTGTCAAACTAGCATGGTGTTGTCATGTGATGTGTCATGACTTTTTCCCCCTTTTCTAAACAGGGCGTGGGCGTGGCCAGCACGGAATGCATCCGGTCCACGGACCATGAGTTTGACACCCCTGTTTTAGACTGTGATTGTTTTACATGGAAATTTGTCCATGAAATGTTTTGAACCAATGTAAAGTAGTACTACAGTGTGTTGCAAAAAATAACGGCAGGGTTAAAACTGTAGAATTGACACCATCTGTCTTTCCAGGTTCGAGCCAAATTCACAGTTGATGACTACAGCCACTACCTTTTTACACCCTGTATTCTTACTCAGTGGGTTCTAGGTTTATTCAGATATGATTTAACAGGAGGTGAGTAACCCTGGCTTAATTGGCATGTCAGAATACCTAATGATGATTTTTGCCAGTTTTTCATTTCTGAGTAGCTTTGTCAGGTTATCTGTGAATATTATAGTGATACCTATAAAGGAAGCTGGAGATAACATCAAGAGGTGACAAAATGTTTCAGTATGTTTTTCATTAATCCAGTCAATGAGACCCTCCTTCATTATAAAATTCATTTTATTGATTTTAACCTAGTTTTTAATCTGTCTTCCTGTCCATTATTTCCTGCAATAATTAGTCAGCATTCCATGCTGACATAGCACATAGCATTTTTAAAAATATTTTTAAATACGTTTTAATGGGTCAGGAGAGGGGGGGAAATGCTCACACAGGTTTATTGATGTCATCATACCAGTGCTATACCTTAATACATTTGTTAAATCCTAGAACACAAAGACATAATCACAGCATTTCCTTGATATTAAAGCATATGTATCTTCATGTTGATGTCACTGCAGTTTGCTACAGAACTGCTGGTTCCTATTGTTAGTGGGGGTTCGCCTGCAAATAGTTTGTACTTGTCCAAACTATGGTTGTACCCCAGTTCTGAGAGGCATTTTGGGATCATGGTAAAGATATTGGGCTAGAATAAGGGAGACCAAGTTCTAATATCTCCTCAAGAGGTGTGGATGCTCCCTGGGACCACTTTATCTTCTCTTAGTCCAACTTATCTCACAAGATTGCTTTTGTGTGGAAAATAAGAGCATGTATGCCGTTTTGAGCTTCTGATACATACTTCCTTATTGCACTTATTTCATGACTGCTACTGTCTTTGCAATATAGGAAGGAGCAGTGGTCATGTTTGATTTCAGGAAACAGAATTATTAATCATAAATAAATGTTTAATCTAATACATAATATCTATGTTTGTGGTTATAATAATGAGCTTTCTCTAGTGTATTAAAGATTAGCAATTTTGATTAATAATAACTTGCTGCATTTTTTTTTTTTTTGTATTCCTCTTCATTCCCTAAATACAATAGCATTTTGGGCTCTAAACGGTTTGTCAGGATTGGTTGGGGGTGAGCAAACGTAATAGATTTAACTGCTTTGAACTTATGACCAACAAATGTACCTTGAATCCATTCTGAATACAATAGTTCTTCATGTTAAATTGTTTTGCATTCCTGCTTACCGAAAGACTAAGTGGCAAGTTTTCTCTAATAATTAACCAGCACTGACCTAAATAAAAATATATTTCTCTTGGATTTCTGTATGAATTATTCATTATAAAGTAAATGGAATTGTATATTGTTAAAAATAAAATGACTATGATATTTTATTCTTGGATTTTTTTTCTCTGCTGCCTTTTGATGGTTGTCTTCTGGTACGTGACATCCTTTTTTGTTTATGCCTTTAAATTGTAGTACAGAATTTCAGAATTTGATTAATGTATAATGACATGTTGTTAATGTGTACTTCACAGCGGGATTTACACACTCGGTAGATACTGTCTTGGAAATTGTTGCATATGAGGCAAAACGGCTTTTCCGTGACAAAATTGTTGGTGCTAAAGAAGTTCATATATTTGATAATATTTTAATGAAAGTATTTCAAGGAGATTGGGGATCAGATATTTTGGACAACATGGCAGGTAAGATAAAATACTGTAGATTTGTTTTCTTCTCCCATCAGGGTTATTTCAGAATGTGAAGTATCATTCCACTTACCTTGTATTTACACAGATACCTTTTATGTGACGTGGGGAGCTCACCATGAATTAGGAACCATCATGGCTCCTGGGCAGACTCTGCCACCTCATGGGAGGCCACTTGGCAAACTTAACTCAACAGACTTAAAAGATATTATTAGGAAGGTATGTTAAAACACACACACACACACACACAGAAGCACATATATACTTGGAGAGGGCATTTTCAGAGGTTTTTATTTCAGATATAGAGCATAAGACTTAGTAGTATTCTGATCACTGGGAATTCAGTGGTTTTCACATTTGTCTGAATATTTCAAAAATGTCTTCATAACAACAAGGGGATTATTTTTTCAAAGGGTGACTTTCCAGAATGACAAGTCATGTTCTGCATATTAAGATTATACTGCTATGAGGAGGCTTTGAACATTCATGGAATATATAAAATATATGCATACAGGAGAGCATGGTGACTTGCGTGGTTAGGCTGCTGGCTTGGCAAGCAGCAAACTCGCATTCGAGAACCAAATGCTGCCAGGGGTCAGGGTGAGCTACTGTCCTTTGGTCCAGCTCCTGCCAGGGACATGAAAGGACCTCCCAATTGGGTGTCTCCCAGACAACGGTCATGTCGTCGGCTAATCCTTTCAAACCGGAAGTGCCTTGCTACCTCCAACACGAGTGCGATGCATAAAGGTCCAAAGGTAAAAGTTCCCCTCGCACCTATGTGGGAGTTTTTCCCAACTCTAGGGGACGGTACTCATCTCAGTTTCAAAGTCAAAGAGCCAGCTCTATCCAAAGACGTCTCTGTGGTCATGTGGCCGGCATGACTAAACACCAAAGGCGCACAGAGCGCTGTTACTTTCCCACCAAAGGTGGTTCCTATTTTTCTACTTGCATTTTTACATGCTCGGTTGGCAGAAGCTGGGACAAATAACGGGAGCTCACTCCATTACATGGCACTAGGGATTCGAACCGCCAAACTACCAACCTTTCAATTGACAAGCTCAGCATAACCACTTAACCACTGAGCCACCGCGTCCTTGGATGTGATGCATACAAGACTGCTAATTTTGCTGCCCCTTTCCAATACTGCTAGTTCTTTCCATGACACTTTCCAGATGCATGTGTTAAGCAGATAAGAAGTTCAGAGGTTTGTATTCTCTAGGACAACTGTCCACTAACCCAGTTAAAAACAGCAAAAACAGCAGTGCAGAACAGGTAATGAACTTAGGGACTGGACCAAAAGGAACAAGCAGATCTGTCAGGCCAATTGTAGTGAAGGAGACTATGAGCTTTGATTATATCAATGCAAACTCCATGCATCATGAATTGTTCAGATGGGGATCTTTTTCTATTTTCCCAGAAAAAAATGCTATTTTCATGCCAGTGTCTCCCTCAACAGCATTAGCCTAGTTCAGTAGTTGGCTGTCCATGAAACAGAGTCTCTTTTAGGAGAAAGTGTCCTCAGCAAGCAATAAGTGGAGTGTCTTCATGGCAGAATAAGCAGACTGGGTGGAAGAGCCCCACGGAGCACCAAAAATAACACAAGCATTAAAATAGCAATGCAATCAATGCTCTTTTTCAAAAGCATTTCTATTGAGCCCCCAAATCTCATTACCTTACCATACTCTAGCTTTTTAAAAATTGCTTCCTGAATAAAGATTATGGGAATTGTCAAAAGAATGAATTAATGAGCAGTAGAATGTGAACAGATTTAGGTAATTTCCCATTTGGACAAATTTGTCTCAAGATTTAGCAAGCCAAGCAGGAATGTAAACATTTAAAAGCACAATCATTTCTACATTGCTTCATTTTACTTTCTTGAAAAATGAATTAATGAGCTGTAGGATAGGAAAACTGCAGGGACCAGTCCAGGCAGTTGCCAAGAGACAACACTAACTCAGAGGCGCAAAAGACAAATGAACAAAGAGGACATGAAAGATTTTTATAATGTTCCATTTTGACTAAAAATTTTTCAACGTTTTATATACCTCACAGAAATACAATTCCAAGAACAATATTTTCTAAAGTGTTCTATATTGCTTCATTTCATTATTTCACTTTCGTATATTGACTAATGTTTTTCCCCCCTCCTTAGGGTATTATTCATTATGGACGAGATAACCATGAAATAGAGATTTTACTTTTCACGGAAGTCTTTGATTATGTGTCCAGAATTGATAGAGTATTGAGTTTTCCTGGAGGCTCCCTTCTGTTAGCAGGGCAGAGTGGAGTGGGTCGTCGAACCATTACATCTTTAGTCAGTCACATGCACGGGGCCATTCTGATTACACCCAAGATTTCCAGAGGCTATGAAATGAAACAGTTCAAAAATGATTTGAAACATGTAAGTTTTATCAAATATTTGTATCATTTAAGATTGTCTCTCGAGGAAGTAAATAAAAGACAGAAGATTCCGTGCGCTAAAATAAGCCCCCCACAAAAATATTGCAACATAGCAGCAACCATGAGGTGACCACACTTGCTGCCTCCTGGACCTCAAAAATAATAAGACCTCCCCAAAAATAAGGCCAAGTGCTTATTTTGGGAGTCAAAAGAAAGTAAGACCCTGTCTTATTTTCAGGGAAACGGTGTGTGTGTGTGTGTGTGTGTGTGTGTGTGTGTGTGTGTGTGTGTGTGTGTGTGTGTGTGTGTGTGTGTGTCTGTCTGTCTGTCTGTCTGTCTGTCTGTCTGTCTGTCTGTCTGTCAGTCAATGGGCATATGGCTTGAAATATAGAACTATACACCAAGGATAGTATCAACAATGAAGCTGGATGAAATGGCTCAAGTTCTCAAGTGCTTTCAAAAGCTATAAAGAAGCTGTAGTTGTAGTTCCAGAGATAAGAATTATGACTGTGTGAGCCCCCTCCCCCCCCCCCCCATGCTGGGTTGGTGTGCCCCAAGAATCAGTTCTTTTTCCTATTCTATTAAACTGTCTTTCAGGAGTTATGGTTGGAGGGGTCTCAGCAGCAGGTATTCTCTGTATGTCTCTCCTTTGGAATAGTTTGCACCCTTATGACTCCCCCCCCCCCAAATAAACCCCTTATGGCTTCTAGAATCAGGTGAAAAAGTAGCTCTTCCAGAGTATAATCAATATATTATAATAAAGCAGTGGTACCATATTCAATAAAGTTATTAAATTTTAGTATTCATTTAAATAAAATTGATTACTATTTTTATTACTTTTACATTTTCTTTCATTTCTTTTTCACTGCAAACTGTTTAAAGTCCTTCTTGTTTTAGTGGGTAGACCATAGCACATATATTTTTGTTATATATGTCTCAAAATGTATGTTTGGAATTATATAATATTAAACCTGAATTCTTTTTCTAGTTCAGTCTACGATTATAAAGAAAGAATGCTTTTTCTCCAGGTCATGCAACTTGCAGGAATTGAAGCTCAACATGTTGTACTATTATTGGAAGACTATCAGTTTGTCCAGCCCACTTTTCTTGAGATGATCAACAGCTTATTATCATCAGGTAAGAAAACTGTAATTTATAAAACTGTAAAAATAAAGTCACTATAAATTGCTTAAAGTAATAATTGCTCAAATTCCACTAGACATTGGGTCTGTAGTATATTAGATGTGTATTCTATAGTTAGATCAATAATAATATTGTTGCAAAATTAGATAAGAGTTTAGAGATAATACTCAACAAAGCACGTTGCTATCAAATGATCACAGAAAAATTTCTACTATAGAGAGTCTTATCTATGTACTACTAAAACTCTTAATTCCTGTAATCTTTACCCTGGGAAAATGGTTCATGTCAGCGCAATTTTTCAACCAAGCTACCTCAAATGGGCTAATTTACAGATTGTGTCCAAAATCTGAGATCTATAATTCCTGTGGGATTGAAATATGGCAATTAAAAAAAAACATTATGTGACATAAACATCATAAAGCAGTTTATGACACAATACAAAATGTCATAAAATATTTCCTATGGTGATATTTGGCTGCTGTACAGTACAACATGGGCTATTTCAAGACAGATACATGTCTGAAGGTATCCCAAATTTTCCAGCGAAGGCAGTACATTAGAAGCTCTGTCATTGAAGATTTTGAGGTATCTGGTAAGGAAATAACTCTGAAAGGATGAGCCAGTAGATCATGGGTTGTTTATTGAAAACATAAATAGATTAATTGTAAGATGTTCACAACTTCTCAGTGTTAGTGCTATATTAACTGTATGATTGGACACTGTACATTCGGTTACATGCAAATATTTTTAAGATTTGGAAACATGCTGCAAAATCAGATTAAGACAGGGGTGTCAAACTTGCATTGTCACAGTGTCATCACATGACATATTGCAACTTTTTTTCCCTTCACTAAACTGGGTGTGGGCGTGGTCAGTACGTGATGCATCTGGCCCACTGGCCGCGAGTTTGACAACCCTGGATTAAGAGAATGAACATTTTCCTAATGTAAATCAAAACATAATCTATGTGTTATGAGAGCAAACTTCTGCAAATCTTGAGCTTCCCTTTCCTCACTCTACAATTGAAAGATTAAATAATATCCTAAATGTGGCTAACCTAAAGTGAAAATGGAAAACATGGTATAAACTGAAAATTATTGTAATAATTTTTATTTAGTTATATGTTTCCTTTTCCTTAGGACAGTTTTTCTCAACCTTGGCTACTTGAAGATGTCTGGACTTCTGGCATTCGCTGGCTGGAGAATTCTGGGAGTTGAAGTCCAGACATCTTCAAGTAGCCAAGGTTGAGAAACACTGCCTTAGGATCTATTTGCTTTTGTGATTAATAACATTTCCCTCAACTTCTTACAAAATATAATGTTCAAAGATACAGTAGTAATTTGATTTTAATTTGGCACATATAAAACATTGTGAAAACTATCTGAAATAGGCGAAGTTTCTGGATTGTACACAATAGAAGAATTGGAGCCACTCCTGTCCCCTTTGAAAGATCAAGCATCACAGGATGGATTTACGGGACCAGTTTTCAACTATTTCACTTACAGTAAGTGAATGAGTCCATATAGTAATGTGATCAATTATAGAAATAGTGAAAAAAAGGTACATTCAAATTAAATGTGAAAAGCGATCATAAATAATGATAACCATTCTGATGGGATTTTTCTTATTAAATATATTTAGTTTGAAATTGAATTTTAAGATTAATTTCATTGTGGCTAGAATTTATGATTCAAGAAAATCTTTAACGTATCTCTTTTACAACATTTACACATTGCTTAGTATTTAACAGTGTCCCATCAGACTCCTTAACATAAAAAAAAGGAAACAACTGGCATGCTGCGAAGTGCTAGCCTTCAGGATCATAACATTTATTGATGTCACTGGCCCCCACATAGTTTCTTACAAAATAAGATGGGAGGTTGTTGCTGTTAAGTACTTTGTTTGGAATTGTGCCTGTTTTCCCAGAAAAGGGGCAACATTTAAGCTAGGGGAGAAGAGAGTATTCTGGTAGTGTGATGGGAACAGTGAGGGGGTTGCAGTGAGCATTCTGGTATATCAGTACTTTATCATTAGTTAGATCTGCCATGGTATCCTTTTTGTGAATGAGCAACCATCCCATTCTCAAACAACTATGTGTGAGTAAATCACTATGGGTATAATTTCAAGCATCCCCAAAAGGCTGCAAACTAAACTTAAATTCTTATCATTGCTTCCTCATTGTTTTTTTTTTAACTTTATTTATGACTAAATACAAATAATTCAAGTACCTGACATTAAGATCCAAGATTTTAATTACATCATAGTTAAAACACATAGGGTAGTTGTACCTCCGTTTGTATTATATTTGTGAGGTGCAAGATACAGATACATTTATTTATTACTGGGAAATATATTATAATTTTTAAATATATTATTATTTTCTAATTTTAACTTTTCAAATATTGAAAGTAGTTTTTTTTTCCTTATGTTCAATAGTATTCAAATTCTCAGAGACCGCCCAGACAGATCCATGCTGTTTTTTTGGGGTGGTGGTGGTGGTGGTGGTGGTAATATTTTTCAGGAGTGGTTTGCCATTGTCCCCTTCCTAGGGCTCTGTTTGAAATTGTTGCAGGTAATTTTATCTGGGATAATTTTACGTAATATTTACTCTTGTTACGCTGTTTTTGTAACTTTTTAGGAATTCAGCAGAATCTTCATGTTGTATTGATTATGGATTCCACTAATTTGAATTTCACAATAAATTGTGAAAGTAACCCTGCACTTCATAAGAAGTGTCAGGTGCTCTGGATGGAAGGCTGGTCTGAAAGCAGTATGAAAAAGGTAAGTGGAAGAACTTGAAACAAGGACACACTCACCATAATACTTTTTGAGTTCTGCCTTTCATATTTATTAATGGATGTCCTAAAATTTAATTTAGATTACAAAATAAAGGTGACATACATTTGAAATGCTTAGAGATGTATCCTTGGAGTTTCTTTCAATTATATATGAAGCTAATATCAGTTTTTTGTTTTAGAGAACTCTGGATTAGTAGTTTCAGAGCTTTATCCTGAACACAACAATAAATCACTTTCTAGGAACACAAATGCACAGTCATGAGATTAGCAGTGGAAGTTTCAAGGACAAAGGTCAAGTAGATGAGTCATTTTCATTGAAGATGAGATTGGAGCTCTTATAATGAAAGACAGCTACTGTGGAATCTGCCTGTGGCTCTATAGCAGTGATGGCTAACATTTTTGTCGCCAAGTGCCAAATGCGTGTGTGTGCACGCTCAAAATGCAATGTGTGTGCACCTCCGTGCACCCCTCACACCCCCACCCCCATGCATGTGTACCCTTTAAATGCCCTCCGCGCATGCATCCCCGGCGTAGGTGGGTACATCCCCTCCCATGTGCACCGCACACTCTGCACATGCAGCAGCTGGCTGGCGGGAGGTGCGTGTGCATGTGTGATGGAGCTGAGCTGGGGCGACAGCTCACATGCCAGCAGAAAGGGCTCTATGTGCCACCTGTTGCATGTGTGCCATAGGTTCTATAGTATGTCAGATCCAGGCTTTAAATTTTACATTAGTCTCTTTTGCTGCTATGTGGCAGTATTTTGCCTCCTTTCTTGGCCATGGATGTTGAAGGCATTGAATACCATCTTGATAATGGTTCTGTCTGGTGTCAGGCTTTTTACTTATGATGTTGCCAGCTTCTGTCTTCACAGTATTCATAGCTCCTTTCAGTGGTGAATTTCATTTTTTTTTTAACTACCGGTTCTGTGGACGTGGCTTGATAGGCACGGCAGGGGAAGGATACTGCAAAATCCCCATTCCCACCCCACTCTGGGGCTAGCCAGAGGTGGCATTTGCCGGTTCTTCGAACTACCCAAAATGTCCACTACCAGTTCCCCAGAACCTATCAGAACCTCCTGAATATCACCCCTGGCTCCTTTCCATAAGTGAAAACCTGTGTCTTAAAGTAGCAAAATCATATAATGTCCTTTCAGCTGAATCTTGGCAAAAAGCTATTTCTACATCTTTTGTTGAGTTCCATTTTTTCAATGTGTACAATTGAACTGAGCCAGCCATGCGAGTCAGCATCATTTTGTAAGCTGAAGAAGAGTGGTAACCATGAAGCCATTGGCCAGTTTTTAGGGGAAGAAATTATTCTAATGGTACGGCTTGTCCTTAGCTTACATTTTACATTCTAGATACCTGAGATGTTATTTGCTGAAGCAGATGAAAAGGAAAAAGTGGCTAAAACATCAAAAGAACACAAAAAAAAGAACTCTGGTAAATTGCTATCTGTAATACAGTTTTAGTGCATTTTCTTTAACGAAAGCATAAGACCAATCAAGTAAATGTAACATTTTCCTTTTTTCATAAATGTATAACAAATTTACTTCTGAGAAATGAGCAAAATATTATTTATAATATTACAAACATTCTCAAATGTTTAAGAAGTCAAATTGACATTTATCATATATGTTGAACATAGCTATATGGTAAATGAAATCTGCAAAAGGATAAAATTAATCTTAAAAATAATGGATTATACTTAAATCATCATTCCATTCTGTTTATTCAATGCCAGCTTTGTCTTTAGCAGTACTTACCTTGTATATTCTTGGTGCATTTACAACTTTGTAGGTGACTTGGAATTTATTAAGTCCTTTTTGACGATTCATGAGTCATGTAAACTTTATGGAGCTACACCCAGAAGATACATGACTTTCCTGCATACATATCTTGCCATTCATAACAGCAAAAGGACAGAGTTGATAAAAAGGCAAAGTCATTTGCAGGTATGTTTGGATACCTTGGATTTCTTGGATTTGCATTATATTTTTAAATGATGCATGCATTTATCCACCATGAACTTCTTTTTGTCTAAATTGAAAAAAATGTTGTTATTCAACATCATAAGAATCCCCTAATTATTTTGTTTGGTTTCTTTCTTCACTTTTGTTGCGGTAAATGTACTTGAGAAAAATTCTTACTTATCTGAACATTGCAATATCCTACTGATGGTTTACTTTCGTCTTCTTGTTGTCTAGGATTAGGCAATCCAGATCTCCTGAGATATTGTTTTGCATCTCCATATGACTAAGAGTAATGTAAACCTAAAATAGACCTAACATAGTTAAAACTCAAATAACATAGTACTCCCCAATGCTGCTCTCATGTGTTGGGTGGCTTCCTTTACTTTATAACCTCAGCCTCCCCAAAAGGTTAATTACTGTCTTTGATTTTCAAAAGGTTGTCTCAATGTTGAAAATACGTAGTTTTTTCTCAGTCTGGCTGATTGGATTTTTCCAGCAGTCTTTGTGGCTGGATCTTTCCAGGATAGGAAGATCTGATCTCAGAAAGTCAGATAAGGCAATATTGACAGGATTGGTCAGGAAGGAGGTTCAGAGGGATTGAGGAGCTGAGGACAATGTAAGAAATAACTTGGTCTACATAACCTTGGAGGTTTCCAAAGGGATGTGCATTAGTGAAGCAGAACAAGTTGTTTTGTCCCTTGGACACATGGGCGATTTGGGAGATAATTCCATTATGGTAGATGTAAGTATCGCTGCTGCTTTGAGAATTGTGCCATATGACCGCATGATAAAGCAATCCATTCCGGTGGATTCTGGAAAGCCTTGGAGCTCTTCAAAAGGAAACTGAGGAGAATGGTGTTTAGCCTAGTGTGGTGGGATTCAGGCCTAAGGCCTGCGAGGACCCTAGGCATGAGATGTTTCAGGGTGGGAGAGGCCTTGGGAGGAGTGGGGCAGGGGTCCTGGGCCTGTGCTAGGCCTGCAAGGGCCTCCCACCATCTTTGAGGCATCCTGTGCTCCACTTAACAACTGGATGCTTAATTACATTGGAGAAAACAGAGATGGAGGGTTATTAAGTGAGATGCTTCATTTAACAGGTGACATGGGAGCCTCCATTGGCAGGCTTCAATACAGTCATATCTAGAGGACTGCCTCTATTTAGTATGAAAGAATGGTCTGTTTATGGATCTGATTCCCTGCAGATAAGTTTCATCCAACCCCTCTTTATAAATTGTAGGCTGGAGTAGCTAAATTAAATGAAGCCAAAGCACTTGTTGATGAATTAAACAGGAAAGCAGAAGAACAAGGCATATTACTCAAAACAAAGCAAGACGAAGCCGATGCTGCTCTTCAAGAAATCACTGTTTCTATGCAGGTAAAAAAAGGGCAGGAAGTGGCAAACGTACAAGGACATGGGGTGCTTTGACAGAAAAAAAGATTTTATAAAAATTCTCTTTGTATTGTATGTTCAATAGTACAAAACTGCACTAACTCTAAACTGACCAGGAATTTCTACAGGAATTTACTTTGGGAAGAAAAAGATGAAGGAAAAAATGTTTTAGATTGGTGCAAAAGTATTGTTAGATTTTAGGCAGAGTTGCTTATGTATCATTACACCCAAATCAGTATGAGACAACCTTTAGTAACTTTGAGCCTTTTTTTGTTAAGTTACGGCTGTAAATTTTTTTTTTTACAGAAGAAACTTTTTCATCTTTATTGTCAAAAATATTGTCCAAATGTCATATATTCTGTACGTAGGTGGTCACCTAGTGCAGTTGTTCAGTTTCAAAGAGTGTATAAAAAATAATATAAGATTTCTGGGAAAGATAAAAATGTTGCAAAGAAAAATGGCTGGCTGCATTCACTCTGAAGAAACGTATAGGTGTCTGACCTGATGTCTTGACTAATGCCTGTCTTGTAGGATGCAAGTGAACAAAAATCAGAAATGGAAAAAATAAAGCAGAAAATAGCCCAAGAAGTAGTTAAAATTGAAGAAAGAAAAAAAATAATTGAGGATGAATTGAAAGAGGTTCAGGTAATCATTTATTTTTTTAAAAAAATTATATCATCCTATTAAGAAGTATACTTTTCTGTAATTTCTCCGTTATTTTTCTTTTGATACAATAAAGAGTAGTTAAGATTTTAAGAGTGTTTGAATAGTAACTGCCTTAAGTTATAGAAAACATTAAAATCTGAGAATATTCGTATCATTTCATATAACCTTCTGAAACAACTGCTTTTATTATAGTATTGAGACAAGCTGGAATAATCATTAAGGTTAAATGTCGTGCACTTCTTGGAACAACTTCCATGCAGTGTTTATTTATTTTCTCAATTATGGAACATCAGCTATGGTTTTTTGAAGAAATTGGGAAGAATAGTTTTCTTCATTTTATCATAGCTATATCTTTGTTTTCTTTTGGTCTATGTCTGACAGTTTTCCTAGTAATATTGTTCGGCAATGATTCTTCATGTCTCTATTACATGTATTCCTCTTTTGACTTTTATTGATTTTCTGATTACTCCTTAATTGATTATTTTCTTTTTATTTTTTTAATGCCTTCCTAGTTTTCCGTTTTAGATCTTGATTGTTGTGGTGATTGTCAGTCCTTTAATACTGAAACTGTATGGTTTCCCAAATAGACAAGAGAACTCATACTTTCTGTCCCACTGGAGATAGAAAAATTATTGTGAAAGGAATAGTTTGGGAAATAGAAATGATTTTGGAAAGTAAGAAAGTGGCTACAGTTAAGAACAAAGTAGGAAAATCAGGAGGAAAGGATTAGTAACCAATTATTATAGTGCCAGCTTAGTGGCAAAAGTTCGACTCTTATGTCACCAATTTCGAATTATGAAGATATTGGTGAATTCTGTGATTAAAAAGATAAACGGATGTGTTAAAAATTAAGCCGCTTTAATTTGTTTTTTATTTTCTATTTTAGCCACTGGTTAATGAAGCTAAATTAGCAGTTGGAAATATCAAACCAGAATCTCTGTCTGAAATCCGTTCCTTACGTATGCCACCTGATATCATTAGGGACATACTAGAAGGTGTCTTACGGTTGATGGGTATCTTTGATACATCGTGGGTGAGCATGAAGAGGTAATAGAAGACATCAATGTTCTATTTCTTTTGAAATCCTAATTTATTTTAATCTGAATGCCAGAAAAAGTCTGCAGTAATAACAATAGATTATCCATAGATTGTACAATAACTACTTTCACTAAGTTGTTCTATCACATTGGAATGGTTATTTAATATGTATTCTGCAGTTTCCTTGCAAAAAGAGGTGTGAGAGAAGATATTGCAACTTTTGATGCTAGAAATATTCCAAAGGATATTCGTGAGAGCGTAGAAGATCTTCTAACTAAAAATAAGGCATCTTTTGACTCAAAGGTAATTGGAAATGTTTAACACGTGTTAATTAAATAAGTCACATGTTATAATAGTTCATTGTTGAAACTGCAGATACTGGTGGATAAAGAAAATTTTCATATTTATTTTTGAACAACCGAAAGTTTATTTTTGGTTTTAAATTCCCAAAATAAATATACTGATTGTTCAATGAATATAATAAATCTACATATATATATAAAACGCCTCAAGCAATTTCAACCAAACTTGGTACACAGATGACTTTCTCTCTGGGAAAAAATACTGTGGGGGTAAGACACCCCTAACATCCCTTGAGATGTGTGTTCCGTTAAGATACAGCCTGTTGTGCCTTAAAATGACTTCTACTGTACAGTGCAATGGAGTTGCCATGGTAACAGCTTCACAGAGCTCCACAAGGGGGCTCCCTCTGATAAGGGGGAAAATCCAACATTAGAAATTACGTTTGGTCTGGACATTTTCCTCCTATAAATAAATACCCGGGCAACGCCAGGTTATCAGCTAGTGGTAGTATATTATTTCTGAGAGTATTTTAGATGTTACCACTGGTGCATATTTTCAGTTCACATGTATGTTTGAATATTTCAGAATGCAAAAAGGGCCAGTACTGCAGCCGCACCCTTAGCAGCATGGGTTAAGGCTAACGTTCAGTACTCATATGTGTTAGAACGAATTCAGCCTCTGGAAACCGAACAATCTGGTTTACAAGCGTAAGTAGTTCATGAAGGATAAAGAGCTATGTGTGTGTATATCATTATAATTCTGAAATGTAAAAGAGCCATTACATTTAAAAGAGGAAAACTTTCCTTTCTTTGCCTGATTTGACAAAAGAAAGTTTGGCTCAAATTTTAAAAACAAATATAGCTTCTTCTGCAGGGGTGAAATCTACTTACCTTCGCTACCGGTTCGCAAATGCGAGTGCGTGTCCATCTCTGCACATGCGCAGGACCTTCTCTGCATGCACAGAGCGTCAAAAGCAGACATGATGACGTCTGGGCAGGTGGGCGGGGCCTGCTACCGAGTGTGCTAAATAGAACAATGAGGGGTGGGAGAATCTGCTGTGCCACGCAATTTAGATTAGCTAGAAAGCAGGAAATCCTACTTTCTAGCTAATATAAATCGCGCATCACAGTGGATCATTGGAAATACCGGTTCACCTGAACCGGTAGTATTTTTTTACTACCATTTCAGGTGAACCTGTCCAAACCAGTAGCATTTCACCCATACTCTTCTGGAAAGAAAGCTACACTGTGTTCAAGTCTGCTTTCAAAATACTGCCTGTTAAGCATCTTTCCTTAGAAAAAGTGTTGCTATTACTAAATCCTATTTTGTGCTTTGTATGCTTACCTATTTTGTTTAGACATATTGCTTAAAGCAGGGAATAGATTCAGAAAATTGTTCTATGAAAGGAGCTTTCAAACTTTTTTTAGGTCACTAAGGTTTTATTAGTTAAAATAAAATCCCAGAAACTGATGAAGATACAAAGCTTAAGTGAAAAAAAACGGTGAGGTTTTGTTGCCTTTAGCATCGCTTCAGAATCCTATTATGCTATAGATTACTAATTTAGCATTGTTTAGTCTCTGAAAGAGACTGATAAAAATGCTAATTTCTGGCAATTGATTATTTTTATGTTACTGTTTGTTCTTGTCAACACTTCAATTAGTATTTTTAATATATTTTAGTAATCTCAGAAAAACAGAAGATAGAAAACGGAAGTTAGAAGATTTGCTTAATTCCGTTGGTCAGAAAGTGGCAGAATTAAAAGATAAGTATGTATTTAAGACTTGTTAATACTATTCTTATACCATTTTTGTATTAAATTAACACTTTCCTATTGAAATGGAATTATACTTTAATTCAATTTGCCTTTATTAGTTGAATATCTTAAAAATGCAATTGATATGCAGGTTCCAGGCCAGAACCAGTGAAGCTGCTAAACTGGAAACAGAACTTGTGAAAGCTCAAGAGACAGTGAAAGCTGCAGAGATACTGATTAAACAGCTTGATAGGGAGCATAAAAGATGGAATGCACAGGTTGGTTATTAAACCTTCAGTTGATCCATATTTTTGTCATTTCACTTCAAAAGAAGTCAGTGTTTTATTCCAGAAAGCATTTTTAGCCTCCTTCAATTCTTGTGTTTTTGTTTCTTTGTGATAGATATGAAACTCCTTGCTGATTAATTAGGAAACAATTTTCTTTCATCCTCTAGCTTTATAGACAAAACCTTAAAATAGGCTGAACATTTTTAGAAAAACTTGAAGATATAGAAATCTTTCGTTGTACCATGTGCAATGACAATAAAGTAAACTCAACCACAAACTAAACTTTCCCAAAACCAGGAAACAAAAAGCACAGAAATCCCAGTGAAACGTAAATGTAAATGGTAAGATAAAGATATATTAAAAATGATAGTAAATGTTAAATATGATGACACAAAAATTATACCCAGATGACACACTGTATGACTAATGATGATATAAGATGTGGTAAAGAATAAAAAAACTTTCTATAAAAAAAGAAATCCCAGTCCTGCCACATTTATTGCATGATTTAAACCATTCTTCGATTCTACAAAATATTAAGTACAGCCTTCAGCTATCAAAATGTTGCCTGTACCTGATTAAAATAATGTCTTTCTGCTTATATATAGAAAAGAGGTAAATTAAAATGTGAGCTCTTCATGTTAGTCCATTAAATGTTGGTACATAAGAAAGATGGTGAGTGTTTCCACACTATGCTGGTCTTTAAAATCCATTGTATTTTTGGAGACGAAGAAGCAAATTGCACAAACTGATTAACTCAGCTTTTCCCTCAGTGAAAAGGTCTGGTCATTTAGCAGATCAATATATTGACTAGCTACATCAATAATCACATTGGAAATTGTTTCAGGTGTCAGAAATAGCGGATGAATTAAGTACACTGCCAAGGAGAGCTCAACTGTCTGCAGCATTTATTACTTACCTCTCAGCTGCACCCGAAGACCAAAGAAAAGCAAGCTTGGATTCATGGACAAAATCTGCTAGTCTTGAAAGTGAGAGGAGTTCTCATGTTCTGCTTTTAAATTACAGTTTTAAATGTTACACAAATCTCAACATTAACATAAGTGATTAATGGGATGGGGGAGGGGGGAAATACTTAGCAGCTTATTCAATCCTAGGCAGCGACAGATGTTTCTCTATCAGGGTGCAAAGAGAAAATATTTCCTGCGAACTCTACATAGGCGCCAGGAAGGGCATCCGGCCAGTAAGCACTCAGCTCCATTCAATTGCCCTGACCTCACCCTGAAACAAGGGATTACAGCAGGGGTGTCAAACTTGCGTTGTCATGGCGGCATCACGTGACACATCGGGACTTTTCCCCGCCTTTGCTAAACCAGGCGAGAGCAGGGCCAGCACGTGATGAATCTGACCCGCTGCTACTTGGCAGTCCTGGATTACAGGATTGCAAAATGGGGGGGGGGGGGGAAGAATCCCTGTTCCTTGACCAGTTCAAAGCACAGGTTTCCCAAGAAATCAAAGATCATTGCCTTGAAATTAAGTTCTAGACCACCTTAAACACAATCATTCCAAGAATATAATCACAGAAGTAGAATAAAAAAATTATCTATGCAATTCCTGTTCTTAAGGAATGTATGATTCTTGATATCAAGCTGAGCACAGAAGGGAAGAAAACATACACAGCCTTTCATCTTAAGATAGTGAAATAATAATGGTGTAAGAATACTGTGTTCTTTGTAAGTTTTTGCTTTGTTCTGCCCCAAGGCAAGAAATATTATATTCAAATCTTAGAAAAAAAATTTGAGCATAAATATCTGTCCTCTGAGTGGCAAGGAAAATATTTTGCCTAATTTTGTTCAATTTTAAAGGCTTAAAGGGAGTGGCAGGCAGAGGAATGAGATCTCGTTGTTGTTAGGTTTACATCTTTCTTCTTTAGAGGAATCACATTTAGTAGTTTAGTCAAGTTCAGTTTAAGGTTCAGTTGCAATAGGAGCAAAAATTTCAGTCAGGGTAATATTGAAATGTAACCTTGATGTGGATGGTTCTTGCTTACTACAAACAGTTTCAGTCTTTCTGTATTATATATTGAGATAAATAATGGGTTGCTCATAGGACATACATTAAGTGTAATAAAATGTATTTCTTTCTGACTGTATAATTATGTTTGTTATGAATGGGTTCAAAAATCAAAATGTTTTTCTTCTTTTCTCTCTTTCCTTTTGCCATTTTCTCCCTCTTTTTTCTTCTAAGGCAGCTCATACATTTATATCTACACCAGTTTAAGTATTCTGTGACCTCAAACCTTATTTTCAAGAACTGAAGCTAATATTTCAATCCAGGCAGATTTTCTGTTCTCCTTATGATATTATATAAATGTTTTATAATCACTCTAATCTCTCTAAAAATATATATTAAGTACGTGTGATATATAACACAGTCATTATCATCAATTCCTAAGGAAGTGGTAGTTGTATAGTATCATGAAGCAAATATGGCATATGATACAATGTGATTTATTTGCAGTACTGAATAAAAGTTTTAGATACTAATGAGAAATGTATAATGCCTAAGCAAACTCAGGAACATTAAAATAATTCCCCCTTTTTTTTAGAATTTGATCTTAGGCGGTTTCTATGCACAGAGAGTGAGCAATTGATTTGGAAAAGTGAAGGTTTGCCCTCTGATGATCTGTCAATAGAAAATGCTCTTGTAATACTTCAGGTAAATTCTACTTTTATTATTACGTTTTGGAAATTGCACTCAAATAGCATGCATTCACATTTACCAAAGCTTAGATCAAGAGTTTATGAGCCAGTTCTATTCCCAACATCTGCCTGAGTGATACTTGTACCTTCCAATCTCTAAAAATTCTGGGTTGGATGAAGAAAGTCTAAAGCTGTGATTGACTTACATTTATTTGACTATAAATAGAATACAATAGAATCAAAAAAGCAGTGGTTAGAATGCAGTATTGTAGGCTAACTCTTCCGACTGCCAGCAGTTCGTTCCTGTCCGACTCAAGGCCTTTCATCCTTCTGAGGTCAGTAAAATGAGACTCAGATTGTTGGAGGCAATATGCGGACATTGTAAACCACTTAGAGAGGGGTTATAAAGGACTATAGAGCAGTATATAAGTCTAAGTGCTATTGCTGTTGCTATTAGGTTATTTAATTCTAGATCTTGGATTGATGACAAAGAAGTCACTTCTTGTTTATTTATTTCTTTGATGAAATATTTACAGATATCCTTTTCTGATATTTATGGAGTCAAGAAAACCTATTAATGCTATATTGCATTATCGGAGGATGGTTTGGGAATGTTTTTTTCCCCGCTTACAAATCTAAGTGTACTATTATGTAATTAAAAATCTAAAATGCTAAATATCGAAGAAGTGCAAAAAATTTCATTTCTAAAAAGTAGGATGCGTCATATTTTTTTTGACTAGTCATACTAGTCAATTACATTACTGTTATCTTTCTTCCTGTGTACATTATCTAAATAATTACCAAAACCCATATTTCAAATGTTTCTTTAGTATTGTGGAAAAAGATAAGAGAGATATTTAAATGTAATTTTATTCCTCAATGTTTTCCTTATAAAATAAAATAAAACACAACTCTCTCTTTCTTTCAACAGAGTAAAGTTTGCCCATTTTTGATAGACCCTTCTTCCAGAGCTACAGAATGGTTAAAAACACATTTGAAAGAATCACGCTTGGAAATTATCAACCAACAGGTATTATTTGAACCTTATAAATTCTTCTGGATTACAGTAGAAAGAATACTTCACTCATTCTTTCATTTAAAATGACTGACCAAGAAAAGGAGAATTTTACGTCGTTAATTACAATGATTATATCATCAGCTTTGGAAACTAATAATTTTCTCAATGGAGGACAGAGAAGTGGCATATTTTAAGGATTTTTATTGAGATCAGGGTTTCAATTCATTGATAAACAATATTGACATAGGAGAAGACTGAGCTACCTAGTTTTATGGGTGGTAAAAAGAAAAGTGAGAAACAAAGTCTTAGGTGCTGCAGATTGTCAGTTATTTCCTTCTCCAGCACATGGATAAATACACCTGGAAACATCTACATACATACATACATACATACATACATACATACATACCTATCTACTGTATCTCTCTCTCTCTCTCCCTCCTTCCCTCCCTCCCTCTACCTACCAACCTACCTACTCTCTTTCTCTCTCTCCCTACCTATCTACTGTATTTCTCTCTCTCTCTTTCTCTCTATTTCTTTCTCTCTCTCCCTTTATCTACCTATCTACTTAACTACTCTCGCTCTATCCCTACCTACTGTATTTCTCTCTCTTTCTCTCCCTCTCTATCCATCCATCTACCTACCTACCTACCCACTTTTTTAAAATTTGCCTCTTCAAAACCTTGGTGTGTCTTATATGCTGAAAAATATGGTAAATCATTACTGTTTGCTTAGTATGTCTAGAAATACAGAATCAGACATTAGATCTACAGTCATGGAATTCTTCCTTTGTGATCTATTTGGAGAGGGCATCTACACTATACTGCATTTTTCTCATTTATTGTGATAGTTTAAATTCTGGTTTGATCTAGTTTATCCCCCCCCCCCCCTCCCAAGAAAGTAGAGATTTTGGAGTGAAAATTTTAAGGTTATATTTAAAATGGCAAAAGAAGAGTGACGAACGTGTATGCAAGTATAGTTCTGGCAAAAATAGTTTCATGGTATTTTGTATTTTATAAAAAAAATGTATTGTATAAAAATTTCATTTTGCAGGATACAAACTTTATTAATGCCCTTGAATTGGCTGTGCGATTTGGAAAAACTCTTATTATACAGGAAATGGATGGGGTTGAGCCTGTGCTTTATCCTCTGCTTAGAAAGGATCTTGTTGCCCAAGGTAAATTTCCAACTTAGTATGTGGTGGTACATGTAACTATTGTTTTGATTCTCAGGTAAAATATTGAATTAAAAAGATTTATTTACAATTTATTGCCCATATTTACTATTATATTTGTCTAACACATATTCTACCAATTGTGTCAGTTTGTTGACCTAATGGCATCCGTCAACAAAACATCTTCAGTTTCTTCACCTGAGACATTAGGTGGGAGCAGAAATCTGTTCATAGAATCATAGGCAATTGAATTCAATCTCCTACTCAGGACAGGGATCTGAACTAAAGTAAACTTCATTGTTAGCTGCCCATCAGAGCTAGTATTTTCTAGTGTTAAGGAATCAGGCTAGAACAGGGATGTCAAATTAACGTTGTCACGGTGGCGTCATGTGATCTATCAGGACTTTTCCCTTCAATAAACTGGGCATGGGTGTGGCCAGCATGTGACACATCTGGGCTAGAAAACGGAGGTCTATGAGGTACTAGTTCCGTCTTGGGCATGAAAGCTAGCTGAATGATTTTAGGCCAGTTATTCTCTCTCAGCACAATTCTCCTCACCGGCTTCTTGTTAAGGGGAAAATAGGATAAGGAAGAGTATTATGTTCACTACCGTTCATAAAAAAATAAATAAAGGCAGGATAAAAATATCTAAAGGAATCTATTATCACTCCTAACCAGCGAGAGTAGAAAAGACAAGTTGCACAGAAAGGGATGGAGTGCAAATGAAAATAATCTAAATCAATAATTGAAATTTATATGAGTCCAGCATGTGTTTTGTCCTACAGATGTGAGGGCAGCAAATGAAATTGATTTTAACACTATGGCTTTCCCCCTTATTTGGTTTAGAATTTGGAATAGTGGAATGTAGAATGAATAAACAAATAGTCCATGATAAATCAAAATTGGGACTGGAATTCAATCTTAAGACTTTGGGGTCATGAGTCAAGACACCACATTAACTAGATACAATTTTGCAACTGTTCTTTTGACAGTTGTTAAACAAGTCATCAGAGTCATTAAGTGAATCATATATCGTAAGACATAAGAATGAATCTATTTTATTGAATGGGTGTTTTTGCTGGGAAAAGGGAAAAAACAGTACAAAATTCAGTCATGAGATCATGGAAAGCTGCAACTGGTCACAAGTGCCGTAAAGTTGCCAAGTGTCAGAAATGTGATCACATGACTATGGGTGATACAGCAATTGAAAGTAACTTTTTTCAAATCCATCATAACTTCTAATATTGTTAAAGTACCAGTCGTAAGTCGAGAACTACTGTATTCTTCATATTCTTGCTAGCTGTCTCCCCCTGCCCCCATTCTGTACTGATCTCAGGGTCTTCAGACTCTGAAGTAATTTATTTGAGGAAATAGTAACAATTTTGCCATGCAGAATTTTCCCCTGACCTTAATTTTCAGATGGCCTTTCCTGTGAAACGTAATCATGGATATAACCGAACATAAGTTTTTTCTTTATCTTGCTTCTGACAGTTACGTATGATTGCTTCACAGTGCTGTATAAAAAAAAATGTGTATTTTTGGTGAGCTAGTACCTATCCTATTTAGGATTTTACATGTTACAATATGCAGATAAAATTTATGTCACAAGGTAGTAAACCAAAGCATCAACTTTATCTGAAACAATCTGCAGATGATAGGTTTTCCCAGGGTTGTGTTGAGCCCCTTTCCTCTTAGGTAGAGGATGACAATAAATGCTGGCCGTAAGATTTTTCACTGTTCTTCCTATATTTCAAAGAAAAAAGTTCTGTATTTTCACATATTTTTTTACTTGATTATATATTTCAATGCTCTGATGTTTTTGTACATGCTTCCCAATGTGCCCATATATCACTGGCTACCTGTTAGTTTTAGATGCAATTTAAGATATTAGATTCCTCCTTTAAAACCCTTCATGATTCAGGATCTGATTATCTGCAGGAATGACTTCTCCCTACTACTAATATCTTCTCATCTGATTACATCAAGTATGGTGAATTCTGTGCTCCCTTACTCAGGGATTGTCTCCTTCAGGGACTACACAAGAAGCACACCTTTTGAACCACTTCCCTCTTTGCAATAGCAGTCCTGCCAGACATCCAAATTGCTTTTAGTATTCCAAAAGTCCACTAAGCCTTGATATTACTGGTCTAACAATGGAAGGTGTTTTAATTTTGGTGGTGTCGATTCCTGTAGATGGGATTGTGTGGGATTATGTGGATTTGTACTTTGTTTACAATTTTAATCTGAGTAACAGAGTAACACAGATGTAATTGTACATAATTCAGAGTTAGATTTGACTAGAATTAGTCTTCTGGACATAATTTCTTATTTTTAATACTGCTGACTGAGGCTTGTATAATTTGAAGTACAGAACTTTTAAAGGTCATCAAGTTGTCTTTTCTATACTAGGAAAACTAAGATTCACCTAGACATTTCATTTTTCATTTTTTTTTCATTTTATTAAGCATTTATAGGCCGCCCTTTTTCCTGAGGGGACTCAGGGC